CTTAGTACTCCAGAATGTTATGTACGTCACTTCCAAATTTTAATACAACTGGCAAATTGGTATCTACAGAGCCCACTAAATATCCTATCTTTGTTTGGGATCACAAATATTATCCTCGTGGGTTTAGTTATGATAATAATAATAATAATAATAATAATAATAATAATAATAAAATAATAAATTGTTAGAGAAAGATACACCAGCAGTGAAAGTTTGAAGCCAGTCTAAAAAAAAATCAAAATTTGTTCAATAAAAATTTTCAAAATGACACCTACACACGGCTGTGGTTCATACGGCTAGCAGTAACAGCCTGGTTGATCAGGCCCTGATCCACCATGAGGCCTGGTCACAGACCGGCCACGGGGGCGTTGGGCCCCCGGAACCTCTTCCAGGTATACTCCTGGTATACACAACCAAACCAATCCACAACTTTTAAAGTGAGATACATAATTATGTACCCTTTCCCAATCCTTTGACTACCGTCCACAGGATGGTATGGTGGCATAACGAAGATATTAAACTAACTAATACATCAGTGATGAGATCCTGAAGACAGGAGAGGTATCACAAGTTACCATTTTAGTTAAATTTGGGACTTTTAAAATAGTTCATTAACAAATATGAGCTTTTTTTTTAAAATATATCAGTGCTGTAAGTTTGAAGTCGATCAAAAAAAAGGCATTCTCAAGCTATCACACAAACCATTAAACACACCTTCAATGTAAGGTATCCTGTAGTTCGATTGCCAGCGCACTCAGATCATACACTGAGGTCCGTGGTTCGATCCCGGTACGAGTGGAAACATTAGGACGTGTTTTCCTAAGGCACCTGCTGGGTTTCCCGTTTACCATCAGTAAAATAGGTACCTGGGTGTTAGTGGAAATGGTGCGGAGTCGCATCCTGGGACAAAGTGGGCCTAATTTGCCCGAAATGTTTCTGCATAACAAGGGGCTTTCTTTCACATTAGTATGTCATGGTGTCAGTTTGGCCTATATACCTTGTACATGTACTTGTAGAAATAAAGATTATCATTATTATTATTAATTTATTATTATTATAAAACTTCACAAATTGTAAACTTGCACAGTCCAATAACAAAACCGAACTGTTTTAAAATTTTAAACCCAACCAAAGGAAGCCTTACCAAATTATCACACGGAAACCTTGAAGGAAGGAAAAATAAAACTGACAACCCTGTGGAAAATTGCATTTATCTGTATGTATAATGATGTACATAACAATAAATGAGCATAGATAATTATTATTTATCAGTTAGACTAAAAACAACAGACTAGCCCACTCCACAAAGGGGGCAGTAAAGCAACAGCAAAGAACTACAGACCATAGCACTAACATCCCATACATAAAAATTTTTTGAAAGGGCCTAAGAAGCAAGATCACCACCCATCTAGAAACCCATCAGTTACACAACCCAGGGCAACATGGGTTTAGAAAAAGGGTGCCCTGTCTGTCTCAACTACTGGATCACTACGACAAGGTCCTAATTTCATAGAAGACAAAAAGAATGCAGGTGTAATATATACAGACTTTGCAAAAGCCTTCGACAAGTGTGACCATGGCGTAAAAAGCGCACAAAATGCGCGCTAAAGGAATAACAGGAAAAGTCGGTCGATGGATCCATAATTTCCTCACTAACAGAACCCGAGAGTAGTCGTCAACAGAGTAAAGTCCGAGGCAGCTACGGTGAAAAGCTCTGTTCCACAAGGCACAGTACTAGCTCCCATCTTGTTCCTCATCCTCATATCCGACATGACAAGGATGTCAGCCACAGCACCGTGTCTTCCTTTGCAGATGACACCCGAATCTGCAGACAGTGTCTTCCATTGCAGACACTGCAAGGCTCCAGGCGGACATCAACCCAAAACTTTCAGTGGGCTGCAGAAAACAATATGAAGTTCAACGATGAGAAATTTCAATTACTCAGATATGGTAAACATGAGGATATAAATCTTCATCAGAGTACAAAACAAATTCTGGGCCCCAAAATAGAGCGAAACACCAACGTCAAAGACCTGGGAGTGATTATGTCGGAGGATCTCACCTTCAAGGACCATAACATTGTATCAATCGCACTGCTAGAAAAATGACAGGATGGATAATGAGAACCCTTTAAAAAATAGGGAGGCCAAAGCCATGATGGACACTCTTCAGGTCACTTGTTCTATCTAGGCTGGAATATTGCTGCACTCTAACAGCACCTTTCAAGGCAGGTTTAAATTGCCGACCTAGAAAATGTACAGAGAACTTTCACGGCGCGCATAACGGAGATAAAACACCTCAATTACTGGGAGCGCTTGAGGTTTCTAAACCTGTATTCCCTGGAACGCAGGAGAGAGAGATACATGATTATATACACCTGGAAAATCCTAGAGGGACTAGTACCGAACTTGCACCCCGAAAATCACTCACTACGAAAGCAAAAGACTTGGCAGACGATGGCACCATCCCCCCCCCAAAGAAAAGCAGGGGTGTCACCCAGCACGTTAAGAGACCATACAATAAGTGTCAGGGGCCCGAGACTGTTCAACTGCCTCCCAGCACACATAAGGGGGATTACCAACAGACCCCTGGCAGTCTTCAAGCTGGCACTGGACAAGCACCTAAAGTCAGTTCCTGATCAGCCCGGGCTGTGGCTCGTACGTTTGGTTTTTCGTGCAGCCGCAGCAACAGCCTGGTTGATCAGGGGCTGATCCACCAGGAGGCCTGGTCACAGACCGGGCCGCGAAACTCTCTCCAGGTAAACTCCAGGTAGGAATTTGGGACACCTAGGTCGCAAAAATGTCCCCCTTCGATACCTACCACTGTCATATCCACAAGTTGCTCTGGACCTATTAATTAAATGAATTATACATCACCAGGAATTCCCGGTAAATATATAAATTTGTGGACTGTATATTAAATTAAAAAATGATTATATATAAATACACATATACATAACAGAAGGAAAAAATATCTTAATATCACTCACCAATTTGACCCGGATATTAAGTTGTATCATACTCAGAAAAACCTCACTAACTAAATTTATGAAAAAACTGGCCAGAATTATAAAACAAATCTAGAGAGCTTATCTGAGGTTCCTGGGAGCTGTCTTGTCCAGTCGTCTGATATCTCAAGTTATGCAGGAATGCATATCCACCAACTTCGCCTCCTATTTGAGAGGTGTCAGCACAATTTTAACCTCTAGAGCACGAAAAATTCTTCCCCATTCACCAACGTTTCTAATACAAATTCAAAAACCAAGATGGCGAGTCTCGTCTGCGCAGACGCAGGCTTTCCGTTTTCTATGACATAAATATTATTAAATACAGTATGGCCATCTATTTACATATAAAATACTGAATTTCTGGAAAATATATACAGTATTTTCCACAACCACTATAAAAACTGTTTTGCCTTTTCGGGATGCCTAAATGCTGTGGTTATAATCATAACCATAATTTTATGGAGGGGTGGACCGGTAAGCCATCGGAAGTCCTGGGTCATATGACTGAAAGCTCCAGCTGCGGGTCATCATCTGGCTAAGACCCGCGTCAGGAAACACTTGTTCTGTTTCCTGATAAACCTTACCTAAACTAACCTATACACATATAAACCGCACATAGGAGAGAGGAGCTTACGACGACGTTTCGGTCCGACTTGGACCATTGTGTATTGTTCCAGTCACGGTACTGTTCCTTTTTGTTCTTTCTAACCTAACCTGTACGGCATATGGTAAGAGTAAGAGCTATGATTACTGTGATATATGGTTTGGAAAACTGACGTGGCTTGATGGTGAAGCATTCTTGATCCAAGGAATCGGAGCTACCCGACCCTTTTTTGTATTAAACCTGATTACCTCCCATTCCCAGGCTGTATGACTCATGTAGGTTTAGGTATCCCCATAAAGACTAAATATCTAGATGTTCAACTTCAACCCTGGCAGCAAGTCTAGAATTTCTCTCACGTAGTTACTACAGCACATACTGATGTATGGGAATCTTGTCTGTCTCACTAGCAGTATCGAGTCCTGCTGACTGCGATCTTTCTCTGTATGTGTGCACAAATTGGAAATAAATACACTCGCTTGTTTCTGCGTGGTGCATTGCTATAAAAATCGCTTGAGAGGTCAGAACATACAGGATGAGATTGAAATAGCTTGAATCCATGCAGGATGAGATTGAAATAGCTTGAATCCATGCTTGATGCTGACTGACGTGCCCGGGCTGGGAAAGAAACATGGCTTGTGAACCAGGCTGCCCACTTTATGTGGCATTTGTGACCAAGTGGATAAGAGCGCTGCCTGGGAACCTTGCCCGTCTCAGTAGCAGTATTGAGTCCTGCTGACTGATCTCTCTCTCTCTCTCTCTTATAATTATTTATATTTACGTATATGGAATATGTCAATTTCATACATATTAAAGAATAAAAGTAAAACTCATATTGTTGTTGCCTGATTTATGAGAGATTATTATTGCTTTCATGGAAGTGCTGATTTCTTAGGAGTTATATTTTAATGTTAATTCAGGTTAGTTTTTGTTATGGACATTGTTTTATGTTGTGGAAATGTAAGAAACGTAACATAACACAACGAAACCCAACCTAAAATTCCTGCCCGAAATGCCCCGGCATGATAGTGTCTTTCTTTGTACCTAACACATCAAAAAATCTAATTGCAAAGAAATAAATCTTTGTCTTTTAATTTAACTTATGCTTACTAAGCCAGTGGTAGATACCGGACTAACTCACTTTTGTTTACATTCGATTCGTATTTGTTTACGTTCGCTGTGATTGGCCAGGAGCATCAATGCTAACTGCTAGTTGGCTCTGATGTGCTGCAAGTCCCAAAATAAACACTTTTTTTTGTTAATATCTTCTAAAATAAAAATTTGCACAATAAATAACAATTTGTACCGGTGTATAGATAACCTGTTGGTATTTTATAAAGGTAAATAATGGTTTATTTTTCAAAAGGACTAGATCTCCATATTAGCCCATACCGTGCCTGGAGACTGGGAGGTAAGTAGGTTTAAGTCAGGGAAGTGGTCAGGTCCAACCCCTTCGATCAAGAGCCCCTCAATGGCACTAAGGAAATTTTCATGAGGGGAGTGAGATTATTAATTGAGGAGGATAGCCATGCATGTGTGTACTTAGTTGGTTTATTTCTGTTGTGTGGTGGAGGCGCAGGCGCCCTGCCACAGCTTGCCATATACACTCATATTTATTTACTTTACACATAGCATCCACTAACACTACACACGACTGTATTAAGCCACTCACCGGCCCATGATTTCAGACATGCTTAAAGGTTGAAGAAAGAAAGCTATGGAGGAAGGAGAATAAAAAGTGTTGTGAGTGAGGGTTTTGGTGGGGGGGGGGAGTGGAGAGCCACACTTGGCTCCCTCAGAGATCTCTCACCAGAGACACATCTCTCACCTGTGGTGGTGCTCCCGTGGGTGTCCACACCGTGCTGCTGGTCTCACATACACACACAGTGAGCAGTGTACACTTTCGCCATGGATCCCGAAGCCTTCCTGGAGATGGCCAACCAGGTCACGAAGTTGAAAATGTACCCATACTTCGACATCGCTCACTGCACCCTCTGCTGCCTCTACGTCCGCGATGACCTGGGCACAGGTCAGCACTACACCTGCTTCTGATTAATTCATCTCTTCTTCCTTGCATAATGACAGTCTGTCAGTTCGAAGAATACCATTCAATCATCGACAGTATACAGCACCGACAAGTTTATGAATTAAGAAACATGTGCAGCATTTTCGGCAATAGGGTACCCAAATATTGCATGTATCTTATTCATTAGTACTCTTCAATATTCTCATGTGAACCGAAGTGTGTCTCTTGCAGGCTGTCATTACTCAGGGCCTAGAAAGTGTTAATTGTTATGTACAGGATGTTTAGCTGCAGACCTTGACTAGTGAAAGGACCTTCAATCAAAGAATTTGAGCTATCCTTGCATTCCTTAGATCGAACCTTCCTTCAAAGGACGTTCCTTCATGCTAGTGAGGTGCTCTTGTTCCAAGGAATTAGACTTTACCACTCCTTCAATCGAACCTGATTGCCTCCCACTCCTCTCGGCACTATTTGACCTCTATGGATCTAAGGTTTCCTTAATATATCTTTATTTCTACAAGTACATGTACAAGGTATACAGGCCTAGCTGACATCTATGACATACTACTACATAGACAGCCACTTGTTATGCTGAGCATTTCAGGCAAATTAGGTCAATTTTGTCCCAGGATGCAACCCACCAGTCAACTAACACCCAGGTACCCATTATACTGATGGGTGGGTGGGTGAACATAGACAACCAGTGTAAGGACACATGCCGGGAATTGAACCCGGACCCTCACTGTGTGAAACGATAGCTTTTGCCACCAGGCCAAGGGCCACCGTAATAATAATTAGATAGAATCTGATTACCTATACCTCCCATTCCCTAGGTTCAGTATGACCCCTACAAGTTAAGCACTTTCCAATAATTATACGAGTGTGTACTAAACATTTTGTGCTGTTAAGCCATTCTGTTAAACATTTTGTGCTGTTAAGCCATAGATATTAGTAATTACCTATTAATTAATTTTGTGTAATGTTGAAATGAGATGGAAACATTCTTTAGTAGTTATTTTATTTTAGGTATACAGTAATGTAGCAACTTATGTGGGTGAGAGAGGTCAGTAATGGTGGTTGTGGTGGACAGAGATGAGTGTTTTACTGTAATTATAACAGTGACAGAATTCTGTAACCAGTGAACCTGGTCCATAGTTTCCATATTTTACCCAGCAGATGATGTTCCATATTTCCTAAGGACATTAGATCAAATGTTTACTGTATTCATTATAAAGAAATGGTTAAGCTTTTATTCAGGTTCAGTATTCTCTCAATGGAGGTTCCTTGATGCTAATGAGGAATTCTGTTCAAGGAATTGGACTTGTCCTCTGTTTCCTTGAATCGAACTTGATTGCCTTCCATTCTCCAGGTGCTGTAGGACCCATTGGGTCTCAACCCAATAATGATCAGGTTCAATAGACAAGTTTAACGACAGGATCATCATCTCACAAAGACCAGAATTGGGAGACACTTTCCTATTTTTTGAATAACAAAACACCACCTACCAGTACTGATAAGACAGAACTGAGTTACCTTTAATGTCATGACTAGTATTAGAATAAATAAATTTTAAAATAAAGATAAAGAATACTATATGAATGAAACTGCAGAAAGGGAGGAGAGTGATTTCTTGTATTGCTAAACTATGACAGTGAACTAATATACAGTATTTGTTAGTTTTTCTTGTTATTAATACTCTTAATAATGGAGAGGATAAAACAGAATGTACATGCCTAACAACATACCCTGTCTATGGAACAATTCATGTAACTGATATGGAACAATTCATGTAACTGACAAACTGATTTAATATTCACTTATTATTGTTGGCACTGGTAAAACTAGATGATAAATAACTTTGTAACTGATACTCTAGTCATGTAACTTATATTGAATTCACATAACTGACATTTATGCAATGCTTTTTGTTGTTAATATAGGTATTAATAAAAGTAGAGGTAAGGTAACAAAGTAATTAGTATATTCATATAATTGATATCCCTGTATTCATTTTATACTGACTTCTATTATAATAATTATAACTGATGTATTCATGTAACTGATACTGCACATTCATTTTATATGACTTTTAATTATTAATATTAATACTTAAGGGTAAAAGATAAAACTATATAACTAGAGGTATGTATGTAACACAAGCACCCTAATGGACATAAGTCACAGTGTTTGATTTTATTGGCTTACCTATGGTTCATTTCTATACAAGTTACCACAGGATAATTTTGCACATTTAATTAACCCCTGACATTCAAGTAGTAGGTTTATATATGTACAATAGTTAAGCAATTGCTGACTTACTGGTTCTGTATACTTATGGTTAAGCATCTACAATGCTGCTTTACCAGAGCTACGTTTTCTATCCCATTTAAAAAAGAAATCATATAATAGCATCTTAGTACATATATGGTAGTTCCCACAGTGTCCGGCTAAGTCACCGACTTTTCAAATTTCTGATGTTGAATTATCCAGGCAGCTGATTCAGAGACTTGTTAAACTATAATGACATATTATCCACAACAATAATTTAGGTTTGGTTAGTGCTTGCTGTTAATTTTACAAAATTTGTACTGGATATGGAAGAACTCTTCATCAGTAGAAAAATTTCAACACTGACTTGGTAATGTCAGTGAGATCACTGGCATTTGTCCTCATTTAAAATACACTTCTGTAACTCCAGTTTTCTATCTTAGGTAGACAGATTTCATTACTTTATTTAATGTGTGAATCCCACACAAGAGTGACTTATAATTTAACCTTGGATATAAGTTACATTGTTCGTTCTTGTACTTTCAAAAAAATTATAGCTTAGCATTACAATGCAAATATGTAAGACTTTCCACAACATCTGGAGGGTGTATCCAGGACAGAATTGTCACATGTGAAAGAAACTCCAGACCAGCCATAAGAATTTAAGTGTTTGGTAAAATATATTCACACAGCAGCATATCATATCCTTTGAGAAAGAGGAAATTGTTGCCATTTTTTCATTTGCTTCTTAGATTATTTATTAGAACGAAGAATAAAAAAGAACAGCACGATGACCGGAACAATACGCAAATAACCCGCATATAGAATGAAAAAATGATTCTTGGCAGCTTAAAAATCCAACTTTTGAAGATGCTTAAAATCCAGCTTAAAAATCCAAATGAATTTTTAAGCACCCAGAAACCAATAAAAAACTACTGTGTACATTCTAAATGTTTTTAGAAAAAATCCGTATATGTATAACAATTTGACCAAAATACTATACTGTACTATAAGACAGCTCATATTATGCAGTGCACAGGGTTAATAGACCAAACAGTTAGATAAACATTTCTTTCAGTAGGTTGGTGTTTCTTACATATTTGCATTCCAGATTTAGTCTATCTGGTGTATGACACTTAACATGGTTAGAGCAAGAGGTAACTGTTTACCTGACTCAAGGTAATTATTTGAGAGATTACATTAATTTCAGTTTTAAGGAATCAAGTCTTGCTGTTGTTGTAAAGGTGAATTGCTGCCATACTGTTGCTCTTATGGTTGATAAGATTAGATATGCTTCATTCAAGATAAATGCAGAGTATTATACATTGTCATAAATTTTTACAGTGGTGATTTGCTCACAATAGTTCCTAACCTAACAACATAAATATGCACAGCATTTCAGACCATTAAAATCTAATACTATTAAGGGCTTTGATTAAGCAGTAGTAATGATGATAACTAATGATAATTGTGAAATATATACAGCATTAGCAGCAGAAATGAGACTAACCTTAATGCAGTGATAAAGACTGTAGGGACATATTAATAATCTTCTTTTATATGCATAACAAACAATCACTTCAAATAATTGTACAGGTAATGAACATTTTTATATTTATTTAACTAGAAAATTGGATATTTTTCACTGCACTAAGAGCAACATGAACCTTTGAGAAAGAGGAAATTGTTGCCATTTTTTTATTTGCTTCTTAGATTATTTATTAGAACAAAGACTAAAAAGGAACAGCACGATGACTGGACCAATATGCAAATAACCCGCATATAGGAGAATGAAACTTGCAATGTTATGGTCCAACTTGAACGATTAACTAGTTAATGATCCAAATACATATAGGTGAGTACACTCCCCTACCTACTTACATAAAAAGATTGGGTTATGTTGCATAAATCTATCTATAAAAATGTAAATTTGACCACAAGTACACAAATTAAAAAATGTGCTGTCATAATTAAAAAATGAGATCAGGGAAAAATAGGAAGCTGCCAAATTTGAGCATTTACCTCATTTGGTGTGAGAATGGTCTGTGCATTCATTATGCAATTCTCTTTACTTTTTTGTGTTTCTTAATGGTTTTTATTTCTGTAGTATTTGATAAACAATGTAGGAGGCCTAGTTTGAAACCAAGCCTCAGGACTGATGCTCATCATAAGGGATGTAGCAGGTAGAAACTAGGCTTGAGGTAAGATTTTAAATGTGATACAGTTGTTATAACAATAGGAATAATAAAATTAGAGGGGGATATTAGAGTTTATAAAA